AGCCTCCAGAACAGGAAGCTCACAGCCCACAGTCCTCTTTGCAGAGCGGAGCACCTTGTTTAAAGCTCTCTGTGATGTTTCCAAACCACACAGTCATTGAATCTGTATATGGTCTCCTGCGGCTGAGGTCAGAATGAGCCTTGGAGGAGGGAGATCTTTCACTACCACCAAACCCAGCTGTAGTGATGTTAGTTCTGCTGTTCATCTTATAGTTTGATATTCAGGTGAAACTCATTTTTTTAAATATTGTTCAAAAGAGCATGTATTTCAAAATATGAAACTAATATGACTCATTACATGAAGAGTGACTTTTGGCTTTGTGTAGGGAATTTATAAGTGTCTCTTCTATTTGTAATTGATTAAACCTAATCTATTTGAAGGGATAATTTATATAAATCCGAGGGCACCAGTCTTTGAGAAGACAAAAAGTTTAATCGAATACATTACTTCAGTCTCATTTTCTAAAGGTGTTTGTTCATAAATGCCAGTGTTAATTTACTAAGATTATCAAAACAAGTGCTGCAGCAGTTTTGTTGACTGTGATTTATTCACCAAGGCAATTGTAATCAAATTACAGTAATGCAGTAGTTCAATTCTGCGGTCTTTCTTTGGCTGCGTTGCGCTGGTGGAAAAGCAGCATTTTGTTGTAGAGAATCCGAAGTGCACACTTTTGCGCGTTGTGCATTTCGTTCCGTGTGTGATCCAGTGGTGACAAGGCCAGGGAAAGAGACTTCTTCCGCTATGTTTAAAGAAGGAGGCGTGAGGCTTTTTGGAGGCGGTCCAGCAGGTCCTCCTTTGAAGATGGCAGGAAGTCAAGAGAGCTAGGTAGCAGCAAGCAGCAGAGGAAAACTGTTCTTGTTGTCCTTGTCCCGCCTCGGGGGCCGGCCCAGGCCTTGCAGACTCACACATGACCTCCATAGTCAGATTCAGATTCAGATTCATTTATTTGCCATTTGCAGTAAAACCACATTGGAAAAACTGTGCAAGACTACCCCGGTGTGCACCAGACAGAGAAGACGACACACACCAGAGCTCTTGCCACGGCGCCATCTTTACGGCGCCATGCGACAAACAGTAGAATAAACAGCAGAGAGCAATAACATACAGTTTCACAGATAGTTGGATAGACACATTGTGCTTTGTATAAAGCACGGATTTTTTCTCGGGATGAGCACCTCCGACAGCCGGCCAATGTGGCTGTCAGAGGGGGGCGGGGTCAGGGAGGGGGGTGAGTCGGAAACACAGTGAGGAGTGGAGGGGAGGGAGGGAGCAAGATGGATAGGTAGAGGGAGGCGGGGGTAGGGGATCCAAGCTGGAGACTGAATAGTGTGAGTTGTTGTAGATGGGACTTTTGTTATTATGGACCTTGGCCGAGGAATGTGAGATAAGAGTGAAGAGAAGGCACAGGAGGAGAAAACACATCGCCTCAGGGGGACAATATTAATGCAATGTAGCAGTTAAAAGCAGGCAGATATTCTATTAAATCCAATTAAACCGAATTGCGGCGCCCTCAGACCCCGTACACAGGGGCAAATCCAAGCCGGGTCAGAGAGTTCAAGCCTGGCAAACGATGTCATTCAATCTCAACTCCAGAGTTTTATTCCCTTCGAGTGAACGAGCTGCGAGATCTTTTATCAACTGTTCCACCAAAACCACTCTCCTTTGTCCAGACACGGCGCTCTCAACCACGACGCGGCTAAGCTCCTTGTACATCCCATCAATTTTGTCGGCCAGCAGGTCATGAATCTTGCGAACTGCCATGCCTCCGAATTTGTGGTAGAAGAGGATCGCTCCAAACCCAAACAGGAGGATTCCCACCACCAAAATGCCAAAGATATATACGTCTTCCGAATCTTCAATGGACAGGGTCGACAGACAGAGGGGCTGAAACTTGTTCCAGCTGTCAAGAGTATACCCCGCTGGTGAAGTCCCGTCCGGGCACACGGGCTCTCCAGACCCACGCTTACGTGTTGAAAAGATAGAATCAATTGCGTTGAGGGACCAGTTAATCATTTCCATTCTTGTTAAAGTTGTCTGTGGCAAAACTCCAGGAAAAAGACAAAAACAGGAGATAGCAAGCAGTCAGAAGCAGGAGCGGTCTGAGACACGTCTTTGCTCAACGGAGGCGGAAGTGAGAGTCTGGAGATATTTATGCCACACACACATCACAAATAGAGTATATATCCACAGTGTACATTATATTGGTGAACATCGTCATTGCGTTTTTGTGTTTAGTCCATGCTCTTAATCCAGATAGAAGTTAATTATTTCCTTAAGATAAGATAAGATAAGATAAACCTTTATTAGTCTCACAGTGGAGAAATTTCAGTGTCATCGTTGCACATTACAGCAGAGAAAGGAAATAAGAGCACTCAGATTGCACACATTAAAGTCTATTATTTAAGATAATAGGCAATAAGTTTAAGATAAAATAAAATAAAATAAAATAAGAAAATCTGGGCTACAATTGCACTTGGTTCGGAGTATTTACAGATGTCTATATTATACATTAGCAGCGGAGAATATGAGAATATGAGAATAAACATCAGAAATAATATCAACAGGTAAGGTGACTTGAATGGGAGAATTATCAGATGGATATGAATAATACAGTAAGATATCAACAGGTAAAGTGACGGTGAAAGGCAGAATTATCAGATATGAAATAATACAGTAGTACTGATAACAGTAAATATCAGATATGTAGTACTGTAGTAGTACTGATAACAGGTAAAGTGACTAGTGACAAAGTTACTAGTGAATTATCAGAAACACTTGTGCAGACTCAGCAGTTCCTGTTACACATTCTCGTTGTACAGTCTGACAGCATCAGGAAGGAAAGACTTGCGAAACCTCTCCTTCACACATCGAGGGTGAATTAGTCTGTCACTGAAGCTGCTCTCCAGAGCAGAAAGAGTGTCCTGCAGGGGGTGACAGTCATGGTCCAGCATAGATGTTAGTTTGCTCAGGACCCTCCTGTCCCCCACCTGCTGCACTGTGTCCAGGGAACAGCCCAGGACTGAGCTGGACTTCCTGATGACCTTGTCCAGCTTCTTCCTGTCCCTCTCTGTGATACTGCTGTTCCAGCAGACCACACCGTACAAGATGGCTGATGCCACCACAGAGTCATAGAAGGTCTTCAGGAGTGGCCCCTGCACTCCAAAAGACCTGAGCCTCCTAAGTAGGTACAGGCGACTCTGGCCCTTCTTGAAGAGGGCGTCTGTGTTATGAGTCCAGTCCAGTTTGTGGTTCAGATGAACACCCAGGTACTTGTAAGAGTCCACTCTCTCGATGTCCTTTCCCTGGATGTTCACTGGGGCTGGAGCGGCAGAATGACGTCTACGGAAATCCACCACCATCTCCTTGGTCTTCCCCGCGTTGATGAGGAGGTGGTTCCGCTGACACCAGTCCAAAAAGTCCTGTATAACTCCTCTGTACTCTGTGTCATCGTCCTCGGAGCTGAGTCCGATGATGGCAGAGTCGTCTAAGAACTTCTGTAGAACACAACCGTCCGTGTTGTGTCTGAAGTCCGCAGTGTAGAGGGTGAAGAGGAACGGTGCGAGGACTGTCCCCTGGGGGGCCCCCACACTGCAGGTCAGGACCTCAGACACGTAGTCCCTGGTTCTCACAAACTGGGGTCTGTCTGTGAGGTAGTCCAGGATCCACTCAGACAGGTCGTAGTCCACACCGGCTGTCTCCAGCTTGTCCCTGAGAAGCCTCGGCTGGATGGTGTTGAAGGCGCTGGAGAAGTCGAAGAACATAATCCTCACAGCGGTGCCGGGTTTCTCAAGGTGGGACAGCGAGCGATGGAGGAGGGAGATGATGGCGTCCTCGACTCCGATGCCCGGCCTGTAGGCGAACTGCAGCGGGTCCATCGCTGGGCTCAGAGTGGAGCAGAGATGTCCCAGGACCAGTCTCTCCAGTGTCTTCATGCAGTGGGATGTTAGAGCCACTGGCCTGAAATCGCTGAGGTCTTTGGCCCGTGGTTTCTTGTGCACTGGTACCACACAGGAGGTCTTCCAGATCTGTGGCACCGACCTCAGGCGGAGGCTCATGTTGAAGACGTGCCCCATAACTCCGCACAGTTCGTCTGCACAGGAGCTGAGGAGCCTGGCGCTCACATGGTCTGGTCCCGCCGCCTTCCTGGTCTTGATTTTCTTCATCACACCTCTCACCTGAGCAGGTGTGAAAGAAAGGGGAGGGCTGGGGGGCTGGGTGAGTATCTGTGTCTGAGGGGGGGGGGGGGGGGGGGCGTGAAGCACTGACAGAGGTGTGAACGACTGGGCTATTGTCCACTGCTGAGGCGGCTAGGACAGGCAGCTGAGCTGGGGGAGGGGTGGGTCTCTGATCAAACCGCAGGAAAAATTGGTTTAGATCATTAACCCACTGGGTTGTATGCCCCTGTGGCATTTGCAAAGAAGAGGTCCAAAGTTCTATTGTCTCTTGTGGGAAAGTTGATGTACTGGGTAAATGTGGGAAGCACAGTTTGGGGGTTCGCGTGATTGAAATCCCCAGTGATCAAAAACAGAGCTTGGGGGTGCAGAGTCTGTAGGTTACTTACAGTACAGTGCAAAAGGTCACACGCATCCTCAGCCTTGGCTGATGGGGGAATGTAGGCCACTACCACAACAACATGGCTAAACTCCCGAGGCAGATAGAAAGGCCTCATGCCAATGGCTAGCAACTCTATATCTCTACAGCATACCACAGTTTTGATAATGCAGTGCTCAGCTTTGCACCAGTAATTGTTCACAAACACACAGCAAGCCCTCCCCCTCTGCTCTTACCGGTGTGCAGCTTTGATCTGTCCGCTCTGAATAGTGTGAAGTTGTCCAGTTCTATGACAGAGTCTGGCATGATTTCTGTAAGCCAAGTTTCCGTGTATATCTGAAGACTGGTGTCTCTGTATTCCCTCTGAAAGCGGGTCAGTGCTGAGAGTTCATCCGCTTTATGATGTAAAGAGAGCGAGATAATCCAGAGAGAGGCTGTGTACCGGGGCCTTACCAGCAGAGGCCCAGCCAGCAGAGGCCCAGCCAGCAGAGGCCCAGCCAGCAGAGGCCCAGCCAGCAGAGGCCAAGCCAGCAGTCTTCTTGGCTCCAGCCAAAGGGCAGCTTTTGGTGCGGCCAGCATCGGCTCAGCAGGAGGCCGACACCAGATCAAAGGGGGATCCCATGGTCGTAAAACTGGCCTCAGTCACTTTGCTGATTCAGAATTAGATAAGGCCCATTCTAAAGCCTAGTGTATACTCGCGCGGTGCTGATTACGGTTGCGGTTGCACTGGACCTACACAGCCACAATTGCTGGTACACTCGTGCGTTCACCTTGCGTTTTGAAGAGAATGTTGTAATCCCACACCCAACCACATGATCCTGATCTCACAGGAGTTAAGAAACCAAAGCGGTCCCATTTACGACAGCTACAGTACTTTCTCCTCTTCAGAACAAAAACATGAGCAAACCAAACTGTTTGAGCTCAATACATATGTATCTACAGTAGGTTTATGTGACAGTTCTATAGACTTATTATTTCATAAGTCATTTCAACTGTGATGCTGTGAATAAAGACTCAGTTCTTGTTAGAAACAGTTATTATTCAATCGTATTCAGCACAAACAGCAAAACAATAAGTGATACATATCCGAGACCAAACATGAACGATTTAAGTGCAGCAGGAAGGCAACAGACGCGATAAGAGTGTAGCAGGCGCAGGAACAGTGCAAAAGTAACGACTGTACAGTTTATAAGTTGGATATGCAACAGAACTGAACAGTCCACAGTCTCCGCGTACATCAGGCTCTGATCCATGAGCCCAAACTACTTTTCCTTTGGTTCCTTCGAAGCACGAAGCTATCTGGTCCGAAGTGCCTCGTCCATGCTCCCTGCAGCCGCTCCATGCTTCCGTCCAAAACACACACACGGACCAATCACAGTGGAGTTTCTCTGCCTGTGTAGTTAGAAATTTTTGAGGGTGCGCGGCAGGCTACGCAAGGGTCTTGCTGAGATCCTTGCGTTGCGCAAGTGACGTCACGTCACCACCGTAAGCTCCGCGCAGCGCGACTATACACTAGGCTTTAGGGACTCCTGTGCACCATGACACCCTACATTTGTTTGTTATAATGTTGATGATTTGGGGTTTTTACTGTGAGACAGAGATCGACAATAACAAATACATGTTTAAAATAATAATATTATTATTATTATTATTATTATTATTAGTCAAGTTGAATTACAGAAATTGATTCTCTCTTGGAGTTGGATTATCAAAATTTACTTAGCATTATGGCTGGGCAAAACAATGTGACTGCGGCTATAAAGTGCCAAAACTGTAGTTGTGTCCTTAGGCAAGACCCATCACCCACATTGGCCTATAATGAGTCTGGTGTGTGCATGAAAGGTTGATGGTGGTCCACGCTGTAGATCCAGCATTGAGGCTGTAGAGCCATGACTGAGGCCATAGATACAGATCTAAGGATGTAGTTAAACGACTGAGGCTGTGCAGTGCAGGACTGAAGATGCTCCTAGGCAGGTCCACCAGTGTGAAAACCCACAGAACACAGATTAAATAAGCATGAGTCTATTTTAATGAAGACAATCATTGATGTCGAACTACATCAGACCCATTCTCTTCCTCAGGTCATTAGACTTCTGTTTGCACTGCTCAGACAAACACTGCCTGTGACTTCAGCCTCTCCAAAAGCCTGCAGTGAAATCATTGAACGATCAGAACTGAGACACAATTATAAATGTATTTTCTCTTACTCCGGCAGAGAAGGAGAGAAGTGTTCTTTTGATTGCCACCGCACTGTCTGAAGCCGTAGACCATTACGAGGCGCCACTTCTGCAAAATCACATTTTAAGCCGTGCTGTAATTGCACACTCCTGGTTTAATCCTGGTCCAGTCCCGGGTCAGTCCTGGATTAGTTTTGTTTCAGTCCTGGTTTATTTACACCGGAGAAATGAATTAATTTTTAACAATATTCTAATTTTCCGCATTTGTGTGTTTAAAATATTAAAATGACAAGCAACAACAATCATAAATGATTCAATATTTTACTATATGTCTCTCTGAATGCAACTATCTACTAACTACTATGTGTGTTATGAGTCCAGTCCAGTTTGTGGTTCAGATGAACACCCAGGTACTTGTAAGAGTCCACTCTCTCGATGTCCTTTCCCTGGATGTTCACTGGGGCTGGAGCGGCAGAATGACGTCTACGGAAATCCACCACCATCTCCTTGGTCTTCCCCGCGTTGATGAGGAGGTGGTTCCGCTGACACCAGTCCACAAAGTCCTGTATAACTCCTCTGTACTCCGTGTCATCGTCCTCGGAGCTGAGTCCGATGATGGCAGAGTCGTCTAAGAACTTCTGTAGAACACAACCGTCCGTGTTGTGTCTGAAGTCCGCAGTGTAGAGGGTGAAGAGGAACGGTGCGAGGACTGTCCCCTGGGGGGCCCCCACACTGCAGGTCAGGACCTCAGACACGTAGTCCCTGGTTCTCACAAACTGGGGTCTGTCTGTGAGGTAGTCCAGGATCCACTCAGACAGGTCGTAGTCCACACCGGCTGTCTCCAGCTTGTCCCTGAGAAGCCTCGGCTGGGATGGTGTTGAAGGCGCTGGAGAAGTCGAAGAACATAATCCTCACAGCGGTGCCGGGTTTCTCAAGGTGGGACAGCGAGCGATGGAGGAGGGAGATGATGGCGTCCTCGACTCCGATGCCCGGCCTGTAGGCGAACTGCAGCGGGTCCATCGCTGGGCTCAGAGTGGAGCAGAGATGTCCCAGGACCAGTCTCTCCAGTGTCTTCATGCAGTGGGATGTTAGAGCCACTGGCCTGAAATCGCTGAGGTCTTTGGCCCGTGGTTTCTTGTGCACTGGTACCACACAGGAGGTCTTCCAGATCTGTGGCACCGACCTCAGGCGGAGGCTCATGTTGAAGACGTGCCCCATAACTCCGCACAGTTCGTCTGCACAGGAGCTGAGGAGCCTGGCGCTCACATGGTCTGGTCCCGCCGCCTTCCTGGTCTTGATTTTCTTCATCACACCTCTCACCTGAGCAGGTGTGAAAGAAAGGGGAGGGCTGGGGGGCTGGGTGAGTATCTGTGTCTGAGGGGGGGGGGGGGGGGGGGGGTGAAGCACTGACAGAGGTGTGAACGACTGGGCTATTGTCCACTGCTGAGGCGGCTAGGACATGCGGCTGAGCTGGGGGAGGGGTGGGTCTCTGATCAAACCGCAGGAAAAATTGGTTTAGATCATTAACCCACTGGGTTGTATGCCCCTGTGGCATTTGCAAAGAAGAGGTCCAAAGTTCTATTGTCTCTTGTGGGAAAGTTGATGTACTGGGTAAATGTGGGAAGCACAGTTTGGGGGTTCGCGTGATTGAAATCCCCAGTGATCAAAAACAGAGCTTGGGGGTGCAGAGTCTGTAGGTTACTTACAGTACAGTGCAAAAGGTCACACGCATCCTCAGCCTTGGCTGATGGGGGAATGTAGGCCACTACCACAACAACATGGCTAAACTCCCGAGGCAGATAGAAAGGCCTCATGCCAATGGCTAGCAACTCTATATCTCTACAGCATACCACAGTTTTGATAATGCAGTGCTCAGCTTTGCACCAGTAATTGTTCACAAACACAGCAAGCCCTCCCCCTCTGCTCTTACCGGTGTGCAGCTTTGATCTGTCCGCTCTGAATAGTGTGAAGTTGTCCAGTTCTATGACAGAGTCTGGCATGATTTCTGTAAGCCAAGTTTCCGTGTATATCTGAAGACTGGTGTCTCTGTATTCCCTCTGAAAGCGGGTCAGTGCTGAGAGTTCATCCGCTTTATGATGTAAAGAGAGCGAGATAATCCAGAGAGAGGCTGTGTACCGGGGCCTTACCAGCAGAGGCCCAGCCAGCAGAGGCCCAGCCAGCAGAGGCCCAGCCAGCAGAGGCCCAGCCAGCAGAGGCCCAGCCAGCAGAGGCCAAGCCAGCAGTCTTCTTGGCTCCGGCCAAAGGGCAGCTTTTGGTGCGGCCAGCATCGGCTCAGCAGGAGGCCGACACCAGATCAAAGGGGGATCCCATGGTCGTAAAACTGGCCTCAGTCACTTTGCTGATTCAGAATTAGATAAGGCCCATTCTAAAGCCTAGTGTATACTCGCGCGGTGCTGATTACGGTTGCGGTTGCACTGGACCTACACAGCCACAATTGCTGGTACACTCGTGCGTTCACCTTGCGTTTTGAAGAGAATGTTGTAATCCCACACCCAACCACATGATCCTGATCTCACAGGAGTTAAGAAACCAAAGCGGTCCCATTTACGACAGCTACAGTACTTTCTCCTCTTCAGAACAAAAACATGAGCAAACCAAACTGTTTGAGCTCAATACATATGTATCTACAGTAGGTTTATGTGACAGTTCTATAGACTTATTATTTCATAAGTCATTTCAACTGTGATGCTGTGAATAAAGACTCAGTTCTTGTTAGAAACAGTTATTATTCAATCGTATTCAGCACAAACAGCAAAACAATAAGTGATACATATCCGAGACCAAACATGAACGATTTAAGTGCAGCAGGAAGGCAACAGACGCGATAAGAGTGTAGCAGGCGCAGGAACAGTGCAAAAGTAACGACTGTACAGTTTATAAGTTGGATATGCAACAGAACTGAACAGTCCACAGTCTCCGCGTACATCAGGCTCTGAGCCATGAGCCCAAACTACTTTTCCTTTGGTTCCTTCGAAGCACGAAGCTATCTGGTCCGAAGTGCCTCGTCCATGCTCCCTGCAGCCGCTCCATGCTTCCGTCCAAAACACACACACGGACCAATCACAGTGGAGTTTCTCTGCCTGTGTAGTTAGAAATTTTTGAGGGTGCGCGGCAGGCTACGCAAGGGTCTTGCTGAGATCCTTGCGTTGCGCAAGTGACGTCACGTCACCACCGTAAGCTCCGCGCAGCGCGACTATACACTAGGCTTTAGGGACTCCTGTGCACCATGACACCCTACATTTGTTTGTTATAATGTTGATGATTTGGGGTTTTTACTGTGAGACAGAGATCGACAATAACAAATACATGTTTAAAATAATAATATTATTATTATTATTATTATTATTATTAGTCAAGTTGAATTACAGAAATTGATTCTCTCTTGGAGTTGGATTATCAAAATTTACTTAGCATTATGGCTGGGCAAAACAATGTGACTGCGGCTATAAAGTGCCAAAACTGTAGTTGTGTCCTTAGGCAAGACCCATCACCCACATTGGCCTATAATGAGTCTGGTGTGTGCATGAAAGGTTGATGGTGGTCCACGCTGTAGATCCAGCATTGAGGCTGTAGAGCCATGACTGAGGCCATAGATACAGATCTAAGGATGTAGTTAAACGACTGAGGCTGTGCAGTGCAGGACTGAAGATGCTCCTAGGCAGGTCCACCAGTGTGAAAACCCACAGAACACAGATTAAATAAGCATGAGTCTATTTTAATGAAGACAATCATTGATGTCGAACTACATCAGACCCATTCTCTTCCTCAGGTCATTAGACTTCTGTTTGCACTGCTCAGACAAACACTGCCTGTGACTTCAGCCTCTCCAAAAGCCTGCAGTGAAATCATTGAACGATCAGAACTGAGACACAATTATAAATGTATTTTCTCTTACTCCGGCAGAGAAGGAGAGAAGTGTTCTTTTGATTGCCACCGCACTGTCTGAAGCCGTAGACCATTACGAGGCGCCACTTCTGCAAAATCACATTTTAAGCCGTGCTGTAATTGCACACTCCTGGTTTAATCCTGGTCCAGTCCCGGGTCAGTCCTGGATTAGTTTTGTTTCAGTCCTGGTTTATTTACACCGGAAAAATGAATTAATTTTTAACAATATTCTAATTTTCCGCATTTGTGTGTTTAAAATATTAAAATGACAAGCAACAACAATCATAAATGATTCAATATTTTACTATATGTCTCTCTGAATGCAACTATCTACTAATTTAATTCATTCATTCTTTTTCAGTAGTCTGAGTATACATTACTTTTCATTAAAAACAATGAAAATATGTTGTCCAATCCATGCCACTAGTTCCCGGCTCCAAAACAGTTTTCTTCTATCCCTAGTTTCTACATTTACATCTTTAGATATATACTCTTAGAGCCAGTCCCAATTCTCACGCTCGTCCATAATTTTTTTCCTTACCCTAGTTTTTGCGCATGCCCATGAGGGGTGTAGGGTGTCCCAATACTTAGGGAGCAACATAAAGTGCACTTTCTGTATGGAAATAACAGAAAATGCACTCCAGGAGGCATCCTGAACAGATGCCCAAGCCACCTCAACTGGTTCCTCTCGATGTGGAGAGATATGCTCTACTCTGAACTCCTCCCGTGTGACTGAGCTCCTTACCCTCATCTCTAAGGGAGCGCCCAGCCACTCTGCGGAGGAAGCTCATTTCGACCGCTTGTATCCACAATCTCGTTCTTTCGGTCAATATCCAGAGCTCATGACCATAGGTGAGGGAAGGAACGAAGATTGATTGGTAAATTGAGAGCTTTGCCTTTCGGCTCAGCTCCCTCTTTACCACAAAGGTCCGATACAGCGTCCGCATCACTGCGCACGCAGCACAGCGGACGCAGCACTGATTCGTCTGTAAATCTTGCGCTCCATCCTTCTCTCACTCGTGAACAAGACCCCGAGATACTTGAGGAAGGACCACTCCACCCACCAAGAGAGGGCAACGAGCACCAAGGCCTCGGATTTGGAGGGGCTGATTCTCATCCCAGCTACTTCACACTCGGCTGCAAACCGTCCCAGTGCTGTTGCAGGTCCTGGTTCGTTGGAGCCAACAGGACAACATCATCCGCAAACAGACTCTGACCCCTGGCTGCGTCTAGAAATTCTGTCGTTGAAAACAGTGAACAGAACCTGTGACAAAGGGCAGCCTTGGCGGAGGCCAACATGCACCGGGAACAGGTCTGACTTACTGCCGGCAATGCGAACGCAGCTCTGGCCCGGGTCATACAGGGACCGGACGGCTCTCAGCAGAGGACCCCGGACCCTGTACTCCCGAATACCCCCCAAAGGACACCCCGGGGAACACGGTCGAACACGCATGAACCGTTGAGTATTCGATGGAGAGTATAGAGCTAGTCCAGTGTTCAACGACTGGGACTAAAACCAGTGAATCCTGAATCCGTGATTCGACGTCACTGTTCTCATTGTAGTGCTGTCCATGGTTGGCTTCGGACTGCGCTTCGTCTGACTCGTCACCTGAGACCTGTCTGCCATGGGAAACCCAAGGGGGGGGCATGATACCCCAGACAACGTAGCTCCCAGTATCATCCGAGTACTCAAACTCCCCCACCACGTTAAGGTGGGGACTGCCACCCTGTATTCAAGAATACATTGAATTGAATTGAAAATGTTATTTTAAAATGATGTATTTTCTTTTTGTTGTTTGTATGGAAGAATGTTTTTTTTTTCTGACACTGAACACATGAATTATCAAGTATTTAACTATGTATACTTTTGAGAAAAATGTGAAAAAGCGAGGACCACCCTCACTTGCCAATCAGCTCTCAGTTTAGAATCAAATAGTGACTCTAGACTTTTAGGGCAAACAAAATGTAGAACTAGATGGAAAAGCCTAGAAGCTAGACTAACTTAAACTAGGATGAAACCAGGACTAAACCAAGACTAAATCGAGACTAATGCTGGCATGCTTTTAAATTTTTTAATGACAGCAGGATAAAACCAGACCTAGCAGTGTGTGTCTGAATAAGGGCTCATAATTTCCTCATATACTTAGGAAGTAAGTCTTTTTCTGCTTCCCTCTGTGTAGACAAAGACCTGAGCAGTCGGCAGAATCAGTCACAGTCCATAAAACAGCTACATTCACATTGACGGCTCCATTCCGCCTCATTAGAGCTGCTCTCACACTCACTCAGGATAAAGTCCATTCACAAAAACATCACTGTGTCACTATGCGCTGGACCAGTTTCTCCCTGCCCTTGGCCTCCATTTGAGCCTCATTTGTCTCATTTGAGCTAAAATTAGAGCTGGAGAGAGCTGCAAAAGCAAGTTTCTCTTTCTTTTGTTTTGGAGTTTAGACAATGGTTTCAAAGGCCACAGTTATCCCTAGGGACCAGTGTGTGAAATACCTGCCAATATTCAGGGGGGAGTCTGAAAATGTTGCGCAACGCAGATTAACACACCCACGGTGGGTGAACTAACTTCACACGCACTCACACACACATGCACGCACAGGCTTTACTCACTGCAACATTCCCATACTCATGTATGCCGATGACACAGTGATATTCACACATGGCAATAACACTTAACAAGTTGCTGAAAAAATCACTAACTCAATCACTCTTGTCTCAAACTAATTACATCAAAAAAAAAAAAAAACAGTTGCAATGTTCTTCTCCAAATCTCACAAATCTCTCACTTGCATAGAACCAGATTTATTAGTTTCAGGCAACAGGCTACAGTTTGTCCCAGAATACGAATACCTCGGATTAATAATTGACTCACAACGTTCACATAAAAAAACATGCAATACAATTAAATGCAACCTCTGCACAACACATCGCCACCAAATGTCTACTCCAGCATCGAAAATGTTTAAGCACTCCATGATTCTGTCCCACTTCACATACGGTCTCCCCACCTGGTGCCTAGCAAACACCACAGCTCTGAAACCCCTGCACTCGCTCTACAAACGGACCGTAAAACCCCTGGACAAGAAACCCCATCACTCTAACCACTGTCCCATACTACACAAACACAAACTTCTCACTCTTGAAAACATGGTCAAGTTCTCCAATCTCTGTCTGTTCTATAAAATCATTCATGGTCTATCATCCCCACCTCATCTACTTCAGAAACAGCACCCAGACCAGGACAAGGGGGGCGGCGAGAGGGGACTGTATCACCCCCACAGATTGGAACCTCCTACCCACAACCATCAGAAATGCCTTACATACCTCACATACAAAACACAGTTAAAACACTGGCTCATCGATAACCAAACCTGTC